CTTGCTTGGGGTTATGGGAGCCAGCACACTCTCAGCATGTTCTGAAGCATGTGAGATTCCCAGGGAGAAGCTAGGAATCTTGCTTATTCCTTTTGGGTTTGAAGGGCAGCTCACCTACACAGGATGCAAAGGGAATTGGGTGAGGGAAAGATCAGCCACTTAGCAAGCAAACCTGTGGGATCCTCCTGGGGAGCAGAGGAACCGATTTTATACCATGTCTCTGCCTGGGAGTGAGATGTGCCTGGTCCAGGGTGTCTTGGCTCTGGAAGGTCCAGGGAGGAACTTCTGTGTACACTGCCCACCAGGCATACCAGCCCATCTCAGTGGGGCTCCTTGCTCAGAATGGAAACGGGGTGGGCACAGGTCATGTTGGTGCCTGCTGAGTCTGCATGGCCACTCCTGGGCATGGTGGAGAGAAACGGGCTCTGGACTCTACCTTTAGTAGCTGAGCGACTGGGAAAATTAATCCTTCCTGGGTTTTAAGTTTCTCATCCAAAAAAACTGGACTAAAAGTACCTTTGCTGCAAAGGTCATGGTGATCCAGGCATGCTTACTTAGTATAAAAGAGCACTTCACTCTGGGCCGGGGATTTAGCTCAGTGGTTCCAGTGCCTGCCTTGCAAGCGCAAGGTCCCGAGTTCAATCCTGGTACCAAAAAAAAAAAAAAGACTTTAAGAGCACTTCACTCAGATCAGGACATCCAGTCCAGGCTCAGGCTCTTTCTTTGCCTCAGTTTCCTCCTCTGCACAATGGAGGGCAGAGGAGAACTGAACTAGAGGAGGACTGCTTCCGTCCAGCGGGGCACTCTCTGTCCAGTTCTGACCTGGTGCCTTTTGCTTTTCTGCCACCGGATGGGATTGTCCCCAAGAAGATGAAAAGGAGGACTAGAACTTGGGTGAGTGGGTCCGAGAATCTTGTTTAATTCTGTGGTCCCTCTGGGGTGGTACCAACGATGCCAGTCCTCTGGGCTTCTATGGAAGTGGTACTTCCTCCCTTGGCCAGCCAGTGCTCAATGCCCAGGTTGTGTATTGGTCAATGGGAGGGACCTTCAGACTCAGGGCCCCTGGGAGGAGAAGGCACACTGCCAGACTCTGCTGGAGGCCACCTGGGAGAGTCTCCCAGGCTTCTCTCTTGGGGGTGACTAAAGCCATTTCTCCAGGTGCATCTCCTAGTCATGCAGAAGAAATGAATGGATACGGAGGAAGAGGCTTGGATTGGAGCCTGCTTTTGAACTTACTAGTTGTGAGACATTAGTCAGAACTTTTAACCCCTTGAAGAATGCAGGTGGTTTTGGATATAAAATTGATGGTATTGGAAAAGCAACATTTATGGACTTGAATAGCAAGATGCCTGGCACCTGGTATGTGCTCAGAACATGCTGTTTAAACCTGAACCTAGATGCGTGCATTAATGGGCATCTTTAACAGATGGGTAAATACATTGAACCCTGTAGCTCTTCACGACCACCAGGAGGGTTCAAGACCCCCTGCCGGTCATCTCAGACCAAAGGTAGTCCTTTCTGCTTGTCCCCTGTTCTGTACAAATGTCCTGTCTCCCCCATGCTGGGAGGAATACAGCTTGAGAAGCATGGCTCAGATAAATTCCCTAGTCAGTGCCTTCAGGGCACTGGGGCCTGGGAGCCCTTGGAGTGTGGAGATGACCATCATCTAGCAATAGTGTGCTCCTCCATGCCACTGGCTGGTGTAGGAAGGGGCATCCTGTAGGCATGAAGTGGGCAGCTCAGCTCACTCCTTCTTCAGCTGCCACAGCCTGCTCTGCAAAATGCACATGCGCGCATGGCATTCCTGCTGTCAGTCTCACAGCACAGGAAATCCAGGCACAGGAGCAGGGAATGACTGCAGGTAATAATAGGCACCCTGGTTGATCTAGAACTTTAGCCCACACATCCTGGTGCTGCATGGCTGGGCCTCTGCAGGCATAGCCTGGTGGTCAGCTGTCAATAGCCTGTCTTGGGGTTGGGTGGAGTTTTGGTTGTCTGGTGTAGCAGAGACGGAGCCCTCTTTGGGTGCCTGGTGGTTTCCTGAGAGCTCTGGCTCCTGACAGCTGTGACTCTCAGCCTTGGCTGCACATTCGAATCTTTAAAACCAACCAGTGGGGCTGGAGGTGTAGCTCAGTAGTAAGCACCTGTGTAACATGTGTGAGGTCCTGGGTTCCCTCCCCAGCACCACACACAAAAACAAAACAGGGCCAGGGATATAGCTCAGCGGCACCGCACCTGCCTGGCAAGTGCAAGGTCCTGAGTTCAAGTTCCAATACCAGGAAAAGAAATCAAACAAAACAAAACAAAAACAGTGGTGGATGCCCAAGTTCTACCCTAGACTAACCAAATCAGAACTTGAGGGTGAAGCCTGGGCACAAGTACTTTCTAAAACACTCCCCAGACGGTTCCAACTTTCAGCCAGGGTTGGAGCTGCTATGAGGAATAATAATGGGGTGATCTCGGGAAATAGCTACGAACTATGGTCCTCAATGTGCTCCGTTGTTCCCGTCATGCTTCATACTACTGGGCCAAAGTGCCTCTCTTTTCCCTCAGTTCTCCGTCCTAAGACAGGGTTTATACTCTTTTCACCTTTTCTTAACTGTTCTGTGAGCTGATATTTCCTATAGTAATCTTGGCCTCTTTTTTTTTATTATTCTGGCTTTATTTCATTAATTTATTCCTCCAGTGCTAGTGGACACTGTGCAGCCAGGCACTGGCTAGCTGCTGGATATACAGCCAAGATCAAGGCAGGCCAAGTCCCCACTCCAGTAGGTGTCCATCCCTTCTACTTGGATTTGCCCTCTCAGTCTTTCTCTTGTTATTAATGAAGAATGTGATACTAAAAAACTGTAGAGTTGGGCCAGGGATTTAGCTCAGTGGTTTCGCCACCTGCTGTGCAAGCTCAAGGACCTGAGTTCGATCCCCGGTACCCAAAAAGCAAAAAAACCAAAAAACTGTAGAGTTCCCCCCCCCGCCGTAACTACATTATCAGTCCCTTCTTCATTTCGTCTTATTTCTTCACTCCTTAATGAAGCTCTTCCTGTCTTCAGTATCTTGATTCTAAGCAAAGCCTCTGCCACAGGCTGTTGAGTCTGCCCAGTTGCAAGTGTTGGACACTGTTTTGCTCATGTATTTTCCTAGGCCTTGTTCCTGAAAACAGGGCCATGGGTACTTGTCCGAGGTGACGTACTCCTGATGCATGCTTCCCATCACGTTGTTCAGGCACCAGGGAAGAGGACATTTGATTTACGCTGTCACAATCATTAAAAACTTTCCCTGTCCTTGCCTCTCTTACCACTGCTCAGAGCCATTTCGACATTGCTTCTAGCCATTTGCTAGCACAAGGAATCAGGGTTAGGTGTCTTTAACCAGAAGAGAAACAAACCTATTTTTAAAATTATTCTCAAAGTCTAGGGATTGTTTTGTTCATCTACTGCCTAGATAGTGGTTTTCAACTTTTTTTACTGTGACCCACATTAAGAGATAAATATTGCATTACTATACCTAGTTGAAAATTTCTCCTAATATATCACTTATCCTTATTATATTCAATGCCCTAAGATATTTGAAATTTTATTTCATTTCTTCAATTTACCAAATTAAATTTATGAACAATAATTGTGATATCCCAATAACGGGATCATAGTTGTAACCTATAGTTTAAAAAATACTCTTCCAAGGCAGGTACTTTAATCCATGTGGGCCCTGAGCCTGAGGCTTGGTCCAGCACCTCCCTGTGGATTCTTGGACAGCAGCTTTTTCAGTCCCTAAGATGCCTTTGGAGCAAAGCATACACTGCCGCCCGTAAAGGCACGAATTCCGTGGTGCAGTGCCTTTTCCAAAAGGCACGCCTGCTGACTGTTGCCAAGATCTGGGATGGTGCATCTTCCCTCTCTAGGACATTTTGTAGCAAAACTCAGAGAACAAAAGTTCATGGACGAATGTCGGGCTGCTTCTCTGACTTTGATGACTGTGTTGAGCCCTGTTTTCTCAGCTGCTCTTTGATTACACAGGGCAGCAGGTGCCAATCAAGGTAACATAAGTACATCCATGTCACATTTTTCACAGCAGTTGAGGAAGGAAGATAGCATCCTAAAATCAGGAGTCTATGCATAAACAGCTGTCCACTCAGACTTCACTTTAGACTCCAGACAACAGAGCTACAGCTATAATTTTAAAAGCAGGAGGAAAATATCCAGATCAGCCAGGAGATCAAGATCTGGCCTGGGTAATGGGAACCAGCTTGGGACTCCCAGCCAGATCCCTGAAGCCAGGCTCTCAGTCTGGCCACCACAAGGGTGGCTGAAGACAAATACAATTACAATTACAATATGTTTGTGTGTATTAAGGCAACTGTTCCTTGGTATTTGTGGGGAGGAATTGCACATTTCACCCTCTAGGGCATTTTGTCACTGTCTTTAAATTCCAGCTCGGTCTGCTCAGTTTAGACCTGGCCCGGCATCCCCAACTTCGTGTGTCCAGAGGAAACAGCTGAATGTGTCAGACTCGGTTCCATGGCTCACATCTCTGCTCGCATTTCTCAATTCAACATGCAGACGATAAATGCGTGGTGTGCATTGATCCCACACTTCCAGCCACCCCATGGGTTTGGGCGGGAGATAGAAACAAGGCTCCCTGTCTGATGCAAATTAGGGCACCCAGTGGCACTCCTGAGACACGGTGGGGACACATTTCAGGCTGAAACCTCCCACTTGGAGGGGGCTTTATAGTTTACAGCTGTGCCAAAGTGCTTTTCCTCCCCAGGTCTTTTATCTCCTGGCTTTCAGCTGAGGTCAAGTTAAGGAACATGCCCAGGTGCCCACAGCTGCGGGGTTTGAAATTCCAGCCCCAGGCTGGGATCCCTGGGCCAGCACTCTTTCTGAGAGACCAGTCTCTGTGCCACTAGCAGTTCCCATGCCCCCACCGTGGAAGGCCACATGAAGACCACTGAGTGGACCTGGTTCCCCAGTGTGTGCCTAGAACATGCTACGCATTTTGACTCTTCTGCCTAAATGTTAATATTTATCATTTACAGCCAGCCACTGCCCACTTTCAAAGGTGAAAACAGTAAAATTTATGACAGGTGCGCTATCAGTCCAGCGGAGATAAAAGGAGGAGGTGTGCTAAGCCATTCGCCCAGAGGTCCTGGACACCTGAGCATCTGACATGGGGCTGCAGCCGCGGTCCGGCGTTCTCCTTGTGGGGCTGCTGCTGGGGCAAGGTAAGCGTGCTTTTGCTCAGAGACAAGTAATGTCCCAGTTCTGTTCACATCCTCTATTGGTCATGAAAGGCGTTTGGGAGAGGAATGTGCCCTACTGATTGAGACAAAGCACAACATGTACGGTTCCAACTCAGGAAACCTGCTTAGCCTCCTGCTTAGTGGGAGTCAGAGGTGGCCTGCAGAGGGTCTGAGGCCTAAGCGCCCTGCAGTGCGGGGTGAGGGCAGGTGTGAGGGAGTGAGGAGTCCACGTGGGATGCAGCACGCAGTGGGAAGAAGAGCTTGAGGGTCGAGCCAAAAGACCTGCACTGTAGTTCTTTGTACCATATGGCCTTGGGAAGTTCTACCTCTCTGGACCTTGATTTTTATCATCTTTAAAATAGGAATCACTATTAGTATTTATGGGCTTTGCTGTTTGCTGAAAGAACAGAAAAAGCAGTTTTCAGGATGATGCATTCTAAGAGATTGCCCACACGCCTCAGTTTTGCGAAACAGCCTGCTACGCGTGGACTGAACTGCCTGGGTCACCCCGGCTTTGCATCCTCCCCGTGCCATGGTCATGAGTAGGAGCAGGTGTGCCTCAGCCATACTCCCTCTGCTGCTCTCCACCCTCCCTGCCTCTCCCTTGGTTTAGGAAGGCAGAATCTTTTAAACCGAAAAGGCCTTAGGTGTGACCTTTTGCCTTCTCCAGTGAGGCCAGGACTTGGTAGACAGAGGCAAAGGAGGAGGTATGGGCAGAGACCTGGCCTACCTGGGGAGACAGACAGCCCCCGGCCCGAGTCCTGCTGCTCACTGGCTTAAGGCAGTGACCTTGGTGAACCTCGAGAGACAATCGTGCCAGCTGTGCCTACAGCACAGGGTCATTGGGTCTCCCCGATTACTAATGAGGCTGAGGTGTTTTTCAAGTTGATCATTTGAACTCCTCTTTTGTGAAGTGCCCATTCAAGCGTGTTCCTAATTTTTCTATTGGTGAGTCTTTCCCCATTGATTTTGGGAGTTTTCATCCATGCTGTGTGCTGAGTCTTTGGTGGCTACATGTGTGCCAAATGCCTGCCTTCTCCACCCTACAGCTTGTCTTTCTACTCTGTTTACAGAGACCTTTGATAAACAAAATTCTCAATTCTGCGGAAATAAGTAAAGACCACCCAACCGAGGATGCACAGAAGCTGTTTGTTCAGAGCCTGCTTAAGCAAGCTATAATTTGCCTTTGGTACAGACTCAAAGGCAGGCAGGGAAAGGGAAGATTTAGGAGTATAGTAGAGGGGGAGGTTTGGACCTGGGCAAGCTGGAGACCAGGTAACCAGAAGAGGATACCTTGAGCGATCCACTTGAGGAGCGTTTTCTGTTTCTCTTGTTAGTCCTGAGTTAGAAGCAGGGGGAAAAACCCAGAACATGGTAGGCACTAACCAGGTCCTGATCATCTGAGCTGATGCCGCAGAGCTGTGCTTGGCTCCCTGGCCTGTTGCTGGGGACTGCTGGGCAGAGTGCTAATGCCATCTATGGTTGGCCATTGTCCATGGGTGTGTTCTGTCTCTATTCCCAAATACATGCGTTTTAAGCCTTTTTCTTTATGAATTGTGCTCTGTGTCTAACTTAAGTCCTCTCCCACCTGAGGTCATGAAGATACCCTATGTTTCCTTCTAAAAGCACTGCACATTTGCTGCTCTTATTTTGGTCAATCCCAATACGTGTGGCATTGGTTTTTGTGAACAGTATAAAAGAGGAACCCAAGTCTATATTTTTAATGCAGATACTCAGTTGAGTTTATTAATGGGTCAGTTTTTTCCCGCTGTTCCGAGAGACTCCTGTGTTCGTACACGTCTTCATCTCCTTCAGAGACCATTTGTACTTCCCTGTCCCCATAATTCTACATTCTGTAGCTTCACAGTAAATTCTGTTACCTGACAAACAAGGCTCCCTATTTATCCACTTGTCAATTTCTAACAAAGAAAACCTGTTGGGATCTTGATAGAGATGGCTTTGAATTCTGTGAAGCAAGTTGGAGAAAATAGACCTTGTTAGTTGAGGTCCTGCATGTATTTTGTTACCTAGGGATATATTTTCTTGTGTGGAATATAGATTTAAAAATTTTTAATTTCAAAATGTTTGTTATAGGTATATAAACATTAAAAAATTGGTTTTTACATGTTGATTTTTTTGAACTCAACTAAAGTCTTATACATTGTAATTTATATGTATATGCTTTGGGATTTTCTGCATACATGATCCTGTTGATAGTGACAGAATTGCTGCTTCCTTTTGAACCAGTTTTATCTCTTAATTATTTTTGTACTTTTTTTTTTGGTATCAGGGATCCAACTCAGGACCTTGCGCTTGCGAGTCACGCGCGGTGCCACTGAGCTAAATCCCTGGCCCTATTTTTGTATTTTTACTGTGATGACTGATGCCTGCTCTCCAATTTTTCATGGAAGCAATGGTTGGAAGCATTCTTATTCTGAAGAAGAAAAGTACTTTCCTTTTCCAAAGAAAAGTATCTCACTGTTCATCAGTGAGTATGGTGTTTGTTATAGGCTTTTTTACACATAGTTTAGGCATCTCTAATCTGAAAAATGAAAGTCTGAAATGTTTCAAAATAAAACCTTTTTGATGAAATCTGAACCCCTTCTGGCTTGAGGCATTTCAGATAAGGGATACTCAACCTGAACTCCTTGTGAAACTAAGTCCTTTTGTATTCCTTATTTGAAAAGAAATTTTTAAAAAATTGTAAGTGGGTGTTGAATTGTATCTAGTCCTTTTTCTGTATTTATTGAAACGATTGTGTGGTTTACTTGTTTAATCTGATAATATAATTATAATGTAAAAATGACTTTTAAAACATTTTTCAGTCACTGCTTACTAGTGTAGGTTCATTAGAGAACTGCACATTTCATTTATTTGTCCTGTCTCTTCAATATCTGTAAATCTAGAATAGCTCTTTACCTTTTTCATTTGTTTTTCTTTTGTGTCACTGAGAAATTTGGGCGTGTGTGTGTGTGTACCTCAATTTGGATTCATCCAAATTGTTTCTTTATTGCTGGCATCAGATTAAACTCAGCAGAAATACCACATAGATCACACTGGACACATCGTGTAAGCAAACACAAGTGAGGCTAAATTTGGTCATTTGGTTAAGGTGGCATCTGCCAGATTTCTCTCTTGTAAAGGTACCTCCCTGCTGTGTGATTCATAAATTACTTCTAGAGAGACATTGCAAGACCGGTCCTTTTTCACGTGGTTTTTGCATCTATGGGTGATTCTTACCTGCTTGGTACCATGGTGATTCTGTTTCTATCTTTCCTTCTGCCTTCTGTTGTTAGTTGAGTTTGCTCTATCCAAGAGACTCCCCTCTCTCCCAACTTAGAAATATTTAATTGAGCTCTCCCTCTCCTTTTATGAACTACTTTTTCCATATAAAATGGACTTGTCAATTCTTACCAATTAGTGTGTGGTATTCTAGTCCTGTCATCTTCCATTTTGATGCCTGAGTTTTCAGAGATTTGGCCAGTGAGAGGCGCATCAAGGTAATTCCTATGTCCTCATCAGTTGTCAGCCACTTAGAAACTTCAGGCACAATATATTCCAGGCTAACCTCAGATTTCCCCTGTCCTACTCCTTGCATTACCTGTGTCTTCAAAGTTCCAATTGGTGAGGGATGTTCTATTTAGACACTGAGGTCTGGGTGCTGGGAATATTTATTTATTTTTGCTGGAGGATTAGTATGTCTAGGCCTCTTTGGTGACAGAACTAAGACACAGTTTTCCTTAAAAAACAATAAATTTATTTTCATATCTTTAAGTTTAGTTAGAATTAGGCTTTTCAGGACCGGGGATTTAGCTTAGTGGTTTGGCTGCCTGACTCGAAGGCGCTGAGACCCGAGTTTGATCCCCAGTACCAAAAAAAAAATTAGGCTTTTCATCTCCTTTTCTCGTTTTATATTTGTCCTCCCCCATGGCTCAAATTTGAGTTACGAATGCATGAATAAATGTATTCACTTGCCAAATCCTATAATACAACATAATATTAGAATTTCTATGCAAACAACACCATCAACAGCAAATAAAGTTCGAATTTTCTTTGTTGTTTGTCCTCACAATAGAGCCCACTTGGGGTGTACAATCAAAGTATTATGCTCAAAGTTACTTGAATTCTTTTTTCTTTTGTTCTCTCTGTTGTAATTAGAAAATTGACAAGTTAAGCTTGTCAGTTTATATTCAGTTTAGTGTTGTTGATTTTACTTTGCTTTTTGAGTATGTAAAATGTTAACACATTTCAAAAGTCAAAAGCATAAGAACAGATGGATTCAGATACTTCCTGTCACCTTGCCTAGCTTCCCTTCCCCTTTCTACCATTCTGGAGGTAAGTATTGCATTAGGTTCATATCCTTTGTTTCTAATATTTTGCTATTATAAGTAATGCTGTCGTGAACAATCGTATGCATGTATCTCTTTCATGTTGTTGGACAAATAGTGTAGAATAAATTTCTGGGTCAAAGGGTGAACACACATAGTTTCATTACATATTACTAAATTTCTCTCCATAAAGATTGCACCCTCTCCAGCAGTTCTTGAGAGAGTGTGTGTGTGTGTGTGTGTGTGTGTTTTACACAGTTTGAATTTTTCCAAATGTCACTGGTAAGAAATGATATTTTAGGACCGGGGATTTAGCTCAGTGGTTCCACCACCTGCCTCACAAGCACAAAGTCCCAAGTTTGATCCCTGGTACCACAAAAAAAAAAAAAAGGAATTTTAATTTTGACTTCTTTTATACAACAAAAGTTGAATATTTTTTCATATGTTTATGGACTGTGTGTTGGCAGGGTTCCAAAAAGCACTGGGAAATAAAATGTTCCCCTACTGAGTTAGGTGATGGCCTTTGGGAGTGATACTTCCATGCATCAATTGGTGTATGAATTCACATTAAGAAAGTAGCCAGAAGTTTCTATTTTACTGAATATATTAATCAAGAATTAATGTTAAATTCTGTTAAAGGTATTTTCAGCATTT